AAAGAGTGTGAGAGAGTGAAAGAGAGAGAGAGAAACAGATGGCAGTATAGCTAATGGCAGACGTGCTTCTTGGAGTAAATAAAAATGAATATAAAGAAGTATTTAGCTTTTGAATATAATTTTATTGAAAGTCTAAGAGAGATAGATAGAGAGAGAGAGAGATAGACATAGATAAGTATAGATTAGCTTTTCTAAACTGAGAGTTAAAAAAATAATTTCTATGGAGATTATTCCATTTGCCTTCCACTCTTCAAATATATTTTAAGTAATATTTATGTGCCTTAGTTTTTTTTTTTTTTACTTGGTTGGTTTTTCCTTTGGTCACCAATTAATTTATATTTATGTGCTTTGCGTTTGTTAGCTGTGTATTTTCTTCTTCTTCTTTTTTTTTTTTTTTTGTATTTTTAATTTTGTGTGTCCCCTTATCAAACAAACAGTTGGCAAAATGATAAATGCCGTTGCTTTTGTATACGTCCAGGAAACACCCCTTGCCCCAACGACTCCCGAACCCCACCACCCTACGACACCCTCTGGCCAAAGCACACCCATTTGGTAATTTAATATTTTTTGCAACCAAAAATAAAAAAAAAGAGAGAAAAAAGGAATGTAACAGAAAAAAAAAGTATATGAGAAAAATGATATTTCAGAGAAGCGAGCGCTGCTAAAAAATGACAATTTTTAATTATCAAATGCGTTTAATGATAAAAATTGTTTATTATGGGCTAAGGGGGTTGGGCCAGCGCTCAGGGTTTGGGACTGGCTCCCAGCTTTCTGCTTGGCCGGCACTGCGTCTTGGCTTTTAATTTATGATTTATTTGTGTGGGTGGCTCGCCTATAATAATTAATATTGCACACAAGCAAAGGACACCTACAGCCAGCACACACAATCCCCAAGGAAGCCAACAGCTAGAGAGGGGTTTTTTCTGTGGGCTGCTCTTGAAAAGGCGAGGGAGGGGAGGGCAGGGCGTACAAACGCAATATTTTCATAAATCTTTTCGCCGCGACGTCGGAGCAGTAAGTGCAATGTCATTGAGGCAGAAGTGGCAGCAAGTAGCGCGGGGAATAAGCATAAGACAGCCCCACACACACACACACACACATACACACATACATACACTAGTATACACACATATGCTGTTATCCCTGCCATAAGACAAAGCCCAAGTGCACCCAGGCCAACATCTTTTACGTCTTTGGCGTCGTCTTGCGCCTGACGCAAACGGAAAAAAATTAAAAGTATTTCTCGAATTATTGTTAATGATGATTAAAAATATGTGTACCTACATAATACACAGCACACCTCAGCACACACACACACACACAGACGACTGCCACTGCGGCTGGGCGTAATCACAAACAAATTTCTGTGGCCTGGCAACGTTTCCCCAAACGTTCTTCTACTTCAGCTGCGACTCAAACCGAGTGTTAACCAGGCCTCTGTGAGATGACTTAATAAAAAGAAATATATGTACATACACATATATGTGCATATAAGTAAATGAAATCCAGAGCATATCTCAATGTTGTATACCCTGAAAATATGTATACATATATTAGAGGTAAGTAAGTATATCATATATACGAGGCTGTCCATATATAACGAACCCAATATATTTTGGCAGAGGTATCGTACAGGCCATCATAGAGAGATAGATCATTCAATAAACAATGTCAACAGATCTACTTGAACCAAATCAAATGATTATTATCGCCTTTGATTTAGAAAGAAAAGTTATGAGACCGAATATGGGCAACGTTGTAGGGCTGCCAGATGGGTCCGTCAAATATGGACAACCTTGTATACACAACTTCAATTTTATAAGCAACTAGGAATATATTTTAAAACTTACTCTTTTATTTTAATAAAAACTATTTTCAAATTGCTTCAATCAAATATCACTCAATAAAGTTAAAAAAAAAAAATAAAAAATATATATATCGCACATATATGATTTTTAAGGAATTTTACTCATAAATATTTTGGTA